TGGAGTTTCAGAGATGCTTGGGGCAGAAGATGCAGCCATTTCTGTCTGTTTAGTTTAGTTTAGTTTTATTGCTAGAGGGCGAGCTCTGGCCAGACAGAGACTGAGGGAGAGGGAGAAGGCACCACCCCCTGGGGTGTGGTCACCAGCAATCCCTTATCATTTCTGTCTCCCAGCAGGTTGTTGGACACACACTCACAAGTGCTGGGTGTGGTTTTCAAGTTCCCAGGACAGGACTCAAGTCACGGGGCTGGCCATGTGGGATCCTGCTCCCTCAGTCACTGGGCACAGCCGGCCTGCGTTTATGCCAGTACCCTCCTCCCCACGTCCAGGCCCAGGAAGGGCAGGGGCGGGTCTGCACAGAGCAGAGAGGAGGGACAGGCCGGCCCTGTGGGGCTGAGTAACATCACAGGAGTGTGTCTTGCTTCTGGAGCCCCAAATGTGCTCTGCTCAGGGCCAGGGGAGGGGTCAGTCAGTTGAGCCCCAAGTCTGTGGCCTCCTAGGAGATGGGCCCAGGCCATGGCTGCGTCCTTAGCCTGGAGTTTATCCCAGGGTTTTGAGAACGGGGGAGATCACAAAGGTTCTGTCCTCATCTCAGAGTTTTTAAATAGTTTAAATAGTTTTTAAATAGCAAGAAGTGCAAGTGCAGGGTTGGGGGCTCCACCAGGCACCAGAGGAAATCCCAGCTGGAACCTTGACTCCTCGGTGTCACCCAGTGCTGCTGCTCACAGGAAGCGAGCCCTCTGGAGAGTCACACTGGGCCTTGTTTTCTTCACGTGTGAACTAGAGGATTGGATTTGAGTAGATGTCAGTATTGTGAGTAGCACTCCGAGGGACTGATCCATTTGGTGCTAGGTAGGTTTGTTTTTGTTTTTGTTTTTAAAGAATTAGGTATTTGGGACCAGCAGTTAGCATAAAGGCTATGTTGCTGGACTCCCATGTAGTCGACCACGGTTTGCGTCCCAGACCTGGTGGCTTAAACTCACACCAGGCATGTGTGCATGCGTGTGCAGGATCCCAAGGGGAGAATGGAGGAAAAGGGATTGTGGTGTGGCCATCCCCCTTGGGGGGTGATTTCTCACTTTCTATTTCTCTGTCTCTCTCTGTCTTTCTGGCGAGTGCATGTGCCCTATAGCAAAAACCTCTCAAAAAAAAAAAAGAATTATATATTTGATTTATTATTATTATTGTTTTTTTTTTTTTAATTTGTCATAGGGCATGCATGCTCACCAGAGAGGGAGACAGAGAGAGAGGGAAAGTGAGAAAGCAAGGCATCAGGTCTGGAACTCGAACCGCGATTGGCCATGTGGGAGTCCAGCGCCCTAACCAGCATGCCACCTGCTGGCCCCTGGGTGGGGTTCTTATGTCCACATTTTTAGCAAGTCTTCAGGGCAGTCCCATGAGAATGGAGGACTTGTGGACCCCACGAGAAATGGGAGACTAGGTTTCTAGAGTCAGTTCCCCACTGGCCTCCTGAGGAGCCACAGGCTGTGTAGGAGCAGCAGGTGGGGCTGGTCCAAGAGCCGACCAGGACACCTTCTGGTCCTGAAGGTGGGGGTTCTTATGTCCACATTTTTAGCAAGTCTTCAGGGCAGTCCCATGAGAATGGAGGACTTGTGGACCCCACGAGAAATGGGAGACTAGGTTTCTAGAGTCAGTTCCCCACTGGCCTCCTGAGGAGCCACAGGCTGTGTAGGAGCAGCAGGTGGGGCTGGTCCAAGAGCCGACCAGGACACCTTCTGGTCCTGAAGGTGGATGGATGAGTCTTTGAACTTTTTTGTTTTTTGTGAGTTAAAGCCACTGGATCTGGGATTCGAACCTCAAGCGAAGACATGGGAGTCCAGTGACACAGCCATTATGCTACCTGCTGGTCTTGAACTTGATTTTTAAAAATGTCTCTCTGGAACC